CTGTGGGGGAATAGAGAGAAGAGAGGGAAACAAAAGTAACAGTGTAGATGAGCCCCAATCCCTGTCCAAGGGGCTGCAAGGATTTAATCCATACGGGGAGGCAGTGGCAAACTGTGGCTGTGTTGAGTTAAAGCCCCTGGGCCGGCTCCAAATGGTTCTGGTGCTGGCCGAGACAGTGGCAGGGCTAAGGTCAAGCCCTAGCCGGCCCCTACTGTGGTAAGCCAAAAACCCTCATCTCCTCAAAATCTTGTGGATATGTGCCTACTTATCTTTATGATGCTCCTCCTGTGATCCAGCAGTGTTGAGTTTCCCTCTTAGTAACTCTCCTAGGCTGATTTCGGTGGAGTCTCTCTGGTATATGTTACTCAGTTGCCATCTTCCTGGAAGTCCGCATCTACTCTTAAATGCTGTTGTTAATGCTATTACTATTAATGCAGAACTGTGTATAATAGTATTTATCCTTTGCCACTGATGTTGTGCCCTTATTGCACATTACGTTTCCCTTCACCCCCATTATTGTGTATATACTCTAGTTAGTGATTGACCCTCTCTTTCCCTAGCATCTCTGAAAACCATTCTATGAGGGGTTACCCACCAAAACCATAGATTTGTTTCAAAGCTGTGTATTTAAGTTTTTTGGCCTTTTGTTTTATAAAACAACCTTATCACCTTCAAAGTACTCTCCATTGTACTGAATATATTTGTCAAATCTGCAATTCCATTCTTGGAAACATTTTTCAAATTCATCTGTTTGGATAGCTGACGGGACTTCCCTCATTTTTTTTTCTTGGCCTCTTCTATGTCTTCAAATCACTGTCCTTATATGTTCCTCTTCATTCACAGAAACAAAAAGGAGTTGCACAGAGTGAGGTGAGGTAAATTAGGTGTTTGGAACAAGAGAGGCATGCTGTTTTTTGCCAAAACTTCAGCACTGAGATGGGTGCATGAGTAGGTGCATTGTTGTGGTGGCAAACCAATACGCCATCTGCCACAAATCAGACCTTATTTTGTTGTACATTGTTATACAATCTTTTCAGGATCTCAAAATAGAAACCCAGATTAACAGTCTGACCCGGTGGAATGAAATTCAAATGCACTACAAGTTGACATTTTTGTTCATTTGGGAAGCTGATGGACATCCAGAATGAGGTTTGACTTTTCACCTTTTTTGAAATGAGAAAACCACTCATACACTTCAGGTTTTCTTATAGGGCTGTCTTTACAAGTTGAGTTCAACAGTTTCTGCAGCATTTTTCCCTGAGCAGGAAACAAAATTTCACAGCTGCAT